TGCATTTCTTTCAACTGTCTCTATACTTCCGCGCCTGAACATCTTTCCTGCAAAACATGATAAAAACATATAAAAACCAATATAAAAAGGCCCTAGACACACACAACATGTAAGTGAAATGTATTAGAAATACCGTAAACTCATGGTATATCAGATGCAGGTCCCCAATTGGTTGGGTTGAAGTAGGTAAATCAACCTTGATTGGGCCAGACTCAGTTTATGAGGCTATGGAGAAAGTTCAACTCATTAGAGATAGACTAAAGACAACTTAGAGTCATCAGAAGTCCTATGCAGATTTGAGGAGAAGGGACATAGATTTCGAAATCGATGATTGAGTTTTCCTGAAGGTGTCAACAATGAAGGAGGTGATGAGATTCAGAAAGAAAGGGAAGCTCAGTCCTAGATATGTAGGTCCTTATTGAATCCTGAAAAGGGTTGGTAATATGGCTTATGAGTTAGAGTTGCCAGCAGAACTAGTAGCGGTTCATCCAGTCTTTCATATTTCCTTGTTGATGAAGTGTATGGGTGATCCGACATTGATAATAACATTAGAGAGTGTGGATGTGAATGATAGTTGCACTTATGAAGATGTGCCGGTTGAAATTCTTGACCGTCAGGTTCGTAGGTTGAGATTTAAGGAAGTCGCTTCAGTAAAGGTTTTGTGGAGGAGTCAGTCCGTAAAGGGAGCTACTTGGGAAGAAAAATCAGCCATGATGCCAAGTATCCTCACCTCTTTCCTTCTGATTCCATTTCAGCTTGAGGTATTAGTTCCTCTCCAGTCTCTCAGTTTACTCTTGAGTAATTCAGTCTGAGTATCAATATCTGTTTGGGTTTGGGTTCCGTGAGAGGACTAATGATTTGTGATAAATGTAGATTGATGAGCATGTTGATAATATTGTAGATGTTGATATATATGCATGTGGTTATAATGTTGTTTGACTTGCTTATGTTACACTAATGGGATAGCCGCGTGATCCTACCAGTACATTGTGGTTGAGTACTGATTCTGCACTTGCTCTTATTTTTGTTGAGTACAGGGCATCTTCATGCGACTATTGACAGACCTCGCTTAGAAGATCAGTGATCGTCTCATCGAATTCAAGGGTGAGCCAATTCTTCCGGGCTGCCATGTGGTTCTCTTTCGTCTATGTCCATCATTTCCAGACTTAGATATTTGTTCTAGTTAGTTGATTAGTTCATTAGTTGGGGATGTATCCCTTCTTGTTTAGACTTGGATCATTTGTTTAGATGTTTTGGTACATTAACTTTCAGGTTCTAGGTATTAAATTTCCGCATTTGTTAGTTAATTAACTTGCTTCCGTAACTTAATTGTCTTAGTATTGTTTTAGTTGCTTAGTTTGGTTGTAGTAGTGGTTCTCCCACCGGATGGTTAGTGTGGGTGCCAATCACGACGGTCTGGATCGTGACAATATATATATATATTAGATCGGGTACCACATTGGTACATATATTATTATTGAATCGGGTATCACATTGGTACATATATATTATAATTATTGGATCAAGTACCATGCTAATATGTATGTATATATATATATATATATATATATATATTATTATTGGATCGAATATCACACAAATACATATATTATTATTATTATTATTGGATCGGATACCACATCGGTATATATATATATATATATATATATATATATATATATATATTATTGGATAGGGTACCACACTAGTACATATATTATTATTAAATCAGGTACCACACCAGTACAATAACCGTTTGTGTGTATGTTCATGAGAGAATCATATCTATTTTTTTGTGATGAGATGATTATAGGTTGGTCAATGAGAGGACTAGGTTGAATTATTATGTTTTAAGTATCACTTGTTGGCCCTTGAGTGGCCAGGGAGTCATGGTAGTCCGAGTACTCGACAACGTGAAGAATTACACTTGACATGCGAATAATGCTAAGTAGTGGTGAGGATTGGAAGAACGGGTATTTTATAATCATGGTTATAATTGTACATCTCTGTTTTACTAATGGTGTTTATTAGTTCATATTTTCATATAATTAAAGTGTCGTAAGGTAAGGAGTTGACATGAGAGCTTGAGGGGGAATAGTAATTTAAGTAACATGATTAATAACAACCGAAGTAACAATTAGGGGGTTAAGTTATGATATGATGTGAGGATGTAATGACTTAGAGGTTGGAGTTGGCAGCGGAAGAAGGTGGGGTGACATGTGTGAGTTCCAACAGTGTTGTTTTATTTTCCTGCTCTTAATTATGTGCATGATATTATGTGGTAGATTCGGGTCGAATGATGATGCCTACCAATACCTGTTTTGTACCGATACTATTCTTGTTATGCCACTTGGCGTAGTCTAGTTGCAGGATTCAGTAAAGTTTATTACGTGAAGACGATGGTGATCTTTGACAACTTCTACTTAATTTTTTCTTATGATGGGAGTTGTGTCTTATTTCCTTTTATACATTGCACTCTCTTAGTAGCTTTTACACCTATTTAGACTAGTTTCGTCAGAGGGTGTTTCAGGTAGTTATAAAAGAATGACTCATATATTCGAGCTTCATATTATTTAAAAATATTAAAAAGTTTTCTTAAGTTTATTTAAGTTCCACATTGTCCGTTTTTAAAGTGGGGTGGTAAGGGTTCGCCTATATAGGTGTTAGAGTAGGTGTCCGCACGGCCAAGTGAGTTGAGTCGTGACAAGGTGTCACAATATCAACAATGACAGATCAAATACGTAAAGTATTATGTGAGTACAAAAGAGATCATTCCAAATGCACTCAAAAAGATTTGTAGTTGTGGCAACACTGGAACTTTTGGATACAATAAGAAAAGTTAGCGATGAGCTTCAACTAGATTTAAATTTTAACAAAAAGAAAACACAATAGAATCATATTTCTCTAACTTGTCTTATATATATTTGTACTTTTAATTAATTATTAATTTATAATATTAATGGGACCATATATTTATATATGGGTTTTCTAAAAATTAATTATCGTATTATCTTATCGAAATTGGTGATTTTTTTTACATTGGCCTAAGTTGAGACCAGAGAAAAATATTATCTTAGAGAAATTATTAATTTATCGTGTATTAATTTAGTGAGATTTTACTGTAACGTAATTTATTTTTCCTTTATCTTAGTGTCTAAAGTGTGTTTTCGTGTATCAATACCAACATAATTTTGACTTTTACATCAACGAGAAAAGTTTGTTTACTATATTTAAGTGCATTTTATATCTTAGCATGATGCGTTATCATGTTCCTCTTTAGCTACATTTTGTATCTTAAAACTTTAACATTATTTAAAAAATAAAAGAAATTGGTATTTAATAATATAAAATAATGTAAAAATATTTAATATATAGAAATTTAAAATCGAGAAAAAATATATATCTTTTTGTTGAAAGTTGAGATAAAATATTACTTATTCAATATTTTTACTTATTTGAAGAAACATAATTTTATTAATAACAATGTGAGTATAATTTTGTTCCCTTTTGATTCTCCTCTCCTAAATATTCACCATAATTCGATGAATTTTAATAGCATATTTCTTAAATGAAATGATTTGGATCGCTAAGGACATCGAACAACGGCTTTGAGAAAGCCAATATATGATTCCTTGATCTCTTTATGTATATCTAAAAGTTTATAAAATTTTGAGACACTCTATCAAACTAACCCTAAGTGAGTGTTGGTTGTAGTGTATTTAAAATTAGAAGCCCTTAAATAAATTTTGCAAGTAGCCCTACATTGAAGAAGTCGTGTTACATTGATATTTCTCATTTCCCCCCCTATAAATATATTAATTATCCTTCTCACATTTTTTGGAAGAACTCTAAACTATCATATGCATCACATGGTAGACTTGGACAAAGCCTTGGGGGAATGTATTCACGAGTTTCACACAGGCCCTACCTACAAACTATAAAAATTCAAACCAGATGTAAAGGAGTGTTATTAAAAAAAGAAAAAAGAAAATCTTAATTAGATATGTATTTTATTAAATTAATTCTATTATCAATATATTAGAAATTTAAAAATTGATTTCTATCAGTTTATATAGTTATTTAATATTGAAGATCGTATAATTTTTTTTGTAATAAAACCTTTTTAATTTGATAAAATAAACAAATAAATAAAATAAAATATTTATTTTATATAAGATCAATATATAAGTGAAGTGTATAGTAATAGATTATTACTAACTCAGTTTCATAAGTATTATCTCAATAAAAAAAATTGTATTAAAACAAGTGTTATTTTAGGAATTCAAAATAAAGTAGTTGTATTATTTTTCAATCATATCTTTATGTTTCACTTTTTAGTATTTTCTTTGTCTCATTTCATTTCATGTAAATTTTTTTAGTTCGTTCTAAAAAGAATGTCACGTCTTTAATATAATTAAAAAAAAATTTAACTTAAAAATTTTTCATTTACCTTTGATGAAGTGATTTATAATCATACAAATATTTAGGAATTGTTTAGATCACAAGTTTTTAATTTTTTTTTTTTGTTTAACATCATGTCAAGTTAAATGATGCCATAAAATAAGACAGAGGAAATAATATTTAATTTACAAGAAGATTCATCTAATAGCGGTGATTTAGTAAATTATATATTATGATTATTAATTTTTTTAATAAAATACGTTTTTTTTTTTTTGTTATAGTGACACTTATTTTGAAAGGAGGATTTTTTTTTGGTTATAGTAGCACTAATTTTGAAAGGGGGAGTCAAGTGGAGAGGGACATGGCTAGATAAAAAAAATCATTCTTTACTGAGGTTGCAAGAATGTTGGCACACTTTTCCTCCATCCAAATCTCCTTGAAAGCTGCTCTTCACTTGTTTGTTCCAAAATGGCGAGACTTAACAGGTAATCCCTTTGTTTATTCATCAGTCAACATGAATCCAAGGTAAAGTTTGAACCTTTTTGCCCCCAACTCATTTCTTTATTTTATTAATTAGTTGTGTGTAGCTTGTATGACTATAGTGGTTGACTGGTTGCCTTATTGAACTCTCTAGAATAGTATATTTTAATATTGATTACATTGTTTAAGCTTGTGTTTAGGGTGATTTTTATTCTTTCTTAATTGGGAATCAAATCATATTGAAACAAGTGCTAGGTTCAGAAAATATTGTACTTTTCTGTTTTGGTTTATGGGATTGAGGTTTTCTAATTAGGACAACTGCTGTGCTGATAGTAATGGGGTATCTAATTTCAGATTCTTGCTCTGAGGCTCATATTGGAACTCCTTGTTTTGCCAAGTTCTTATCTTTTGAGGATTCTTGCATGATATCTTGATTTTTTATCTTCAAGATTTGGGATTTAAGCTTCATTTTTATGTTGCATTTGTTGACAGGAGCTTTTTTTTTGGGGAGAAACTGTGAGGTGAGGTAATCCTCAGTCATTTGTTGATAGACGAGGAGTTAGGATTTTGAGTTTATGAGTTTAGATTCTACAAAAAGCAAATTACTGGTTCTTGATAAGTGGATTTTTTTTTAACACAAATACAATTCTGGGCCAAAGCTACGCGGTAGGCTAGCTCAAGCCGTGCTTGCTGGAAGGTAGCGATGGATGCCCAAGTGAAGAGGAGAGTGTTTCTCTTATTGGTTTCATGTATATGGGTGCCTATGGTGGTTCTTGGTGGGACTGAGAATGTCACTGTCTCTTCCTTGTCTAGGCCAAAAGTGGTGAAGTTTGGAGCTTTATTCACAGTAAATTCAGTGATCGGAAGTTCTGTAATGCCAGCCATTTTAGCTGCAGTTGATGATGTTAATGCTGATTCTACAGTACTTAGTGGGACCAAATTGGACGTCATAACACAGGATACAAATTGCAGTGGATTCATAGGCACTATTGATGGTAAAGGCTTTTTCTCCACCATAATTTTCTTGTCTGTATTAAAGCTACTTAATTCTCAGTAGTGCTGGTGTCTAGACACATGATATCGTATAGTCAATTTCTTTTACTTTCAGTATTATTAACAAATGCGGTGTTCCCCATTTTATGTATAAATTTGAGACTAAGATGTGCTCATTCAATCCAATTCCCTCGCTTGATCATATATAAGGGGGTGATGGTATTTCTTTTCTTCTGCTTCCTTAATTTTAATACATTGTGGGCGTGGTGGCACCGGGGAGAAGGGTGCAATGGAATGTTTCGAGACTTTTTTGATAAGTGTAAACTATCCCGAATGGATTTAGACCAGAAATGGAACCATGAAGCAATACGTACTTCCTCTATTGGAAATGCAGAAGCTAAGTTTAGTTCATGCCTTCATGGCCTGTTTCAGGATTTTGTAATAGTTCAATGTTTTGATAAATGATTGTTTATAGACGTAAACCTTTGTCAAAACCATAACCGAAGCTGGTGTTCCTGTCACATTTAGGTTTTTTGCATTAACTTTATTTATCTATTGCTTTTATTCCTGTATCCCTCTTAACATTTAACACACATACTTCCTTTGCAGCTTTGCAGCTGATGGAGAAAGAAGTTGTTGTTGCGGTGGGTCCGCAATCCTCTGGAATAGCACATGTCATTTCTCATGTAGTGAATGAACTTCGTGTCCCGCTTTTGTCTTTTGCAACTGATCCTACTCTTTCCTCTCTTCAGTACCAATATTTTCTTAGAACTGTCACAAATGATTACTTCCAGATGTATGCTATTGCTGATCTGGTTGATTATTATGGATGGAAGGAGGTTATAGCCATATTTGTTGATGATGACAACGGTAGAAATGGGATATCGGTGTTGGGTGATGCCCTTGCAAAGAAGCGGGCCAAGATCTCTTATAAAGCAGCCTTTTCTCCTGGAGCTACTATGAGTGATATCGATGACTTGTTAGTCAGTGTGAACCTTATGGAGGCACGAGTTTATATTGTTCATGTAAATCCTGATACTGGACTGTCCTTTTTTTCGAAGGCAAAAAAATTGGGAATGATGAGCAGTGGTTATGTTTGGATTGCTACTGATTGGCTTCCATCTGTTTTGGATTCATCAGATTCTAATAAAGATACTATGGACATACTACAAGGGGTTGTCGCGCTTCGCCATCACACTCCAGATTCTGATAAGAAAAAGACATTTGCATCTCAATGGAAAAACTTGAAGAGTATACAAACTTCAAGGTTTAATTCTTATGCACTCTATGCTTACGATACAGTTTGGTTGGTTGCCCGTGCACTTGACCTTTTCTTCAAGAATGGTGGACATGTCACTTTCTCTGATGACCCCAGTTTGCGTGATACCAATGGAAGTGCTCTGAAGTTGTCATCCCTCCGAGTTTTTTGACCAAGGACAGAAACTACTCCAGATACTTGTTGGCATGAACTTCACAGGTCTAACTGGTCAGATTCAGTTTGATCCTCAGAAGGATTTGATTCATCCAGCATATGATGTTCTTAATGTAGTTGGAACTGGATTACGCACTATAGGTTACTGGTCAAACTATTCTGGTCTCTCTGTTATAACTCCTGAGGTTTTATACACAAAGCCTGCTAACACTTCAACCAGTAACCAACATCTATATAATGCTATATGGCCTGGAGAAACTATAAAACGACCTCGAGGATGGGTGTTCCCCAATAATGGAAAGCCCCTGAGAATTGCCGTTCCTTTCCGTGTCACTTTTGAAGAGTTTGTGAAGAAAGATAAAGGACCTGCCGGGGTGAAAGGATATTGTATTGATGTTTTTGAGGCTGCAATAGACTTGTTGGCTTACCCTGTCCCTCATGTCTACATTTTATACGGAGATGGAAAAAGAAACCCGTCGTTCAACAGCATAGTGAATGATGTTGCACAAAATGTGAGTACTTACAGCTACATTCAACAACCTAGTATTTATGACAAAAGTACTCTAACCAAGCCAGTGACCAGTCTGACTATATCTACTCAGCTTCAGTATCTATGCATCACGATTTTCCGTGATGGAAACACTAACTAATTAGGAAATAAGGTGATTCCTTTTTTATATATATGAAATGTGATAGAGACCCTTGATGCTGATTAGAAGTATCACAATTCTATATAGGGTAAGTGAAATATGCATGACCATAAGTGGATTTTATACTAATGTGGATTTGTCGAGGATTTACGGATGCATAACTCAAATGTTTGGTTCAGTGTGATATAAACTGATATCTTTGTGACTGTTGATAACGCGATATGACCAGTAAGTTGAAGAAATATGTAATTGAACTGAATAGGTTGGTCAGCAGCAAATGTCTATACATTCAGTTTACTGAGTAAAGTCGTTTGATAAAATTTCTTAAATATCGGTTGGGAGGAATGTCCAAGAAAATTTAGTTTCTTTTCTGTACACCGTAATGATGTAACATTCTATCTCTGCCTTCAAGTAAGAACAGTTGTGTATGCATAAAATAATGAGAATATTTCTTAGAGCACTTATCAGGGTACATTTGTTTGTTAGAAATATGATGCAGCTGTTGGAGATATTGCAATTACAACAAATCGCACAAGGATTGTGGACTTCACACAGCCTTATATGGAATCTGGACTCGTCGTAGTTGCTCCTGTCAAAGAGACCAAATCCAGTCCTTGGGCTTTCTTTAAGCCATTTACAATTCAAATGTGGGGTGTAACTGGGGTATTCTTCCTCTTTGTTGGTTCTGTTGTTTGGATTCTTGAGCATCGGATGAATCCTGAATTCCGCGGTCCACCGAGGAAACAACTCATTACAGTGTTCTGGTTAGTACTTCTTACTGCTACAACTTCTCGTGAAACGAGAATCAGTATGCTATTTAAGTGCAGGTTTTTCTTTATTGTTCTAGCATGAATCTAATTTTGACTCTTTCCTTTGCACAATTTGAATTCTGATGGCACCATTAATGTTGAGAAGATCCTTTTTTTAGTAAATCATTTTGCCTGTACACGTATATTATCCCTGGTACTAATATCCATTTTGTCTTTCAGGTTTAGTTTTTCAACCATGTTTTTCGCGCACAGTAAGAATATCCTCCTTGAACTTTTCTAGCAAGGTGCTATTATGATACTCAGTTCTTCCTTCGCACAGCTGACACTCTCCGTTGTGAATGAATACAGGAGAGAACACATTGAGCACCTTGGGACGCTGTGTGCTGATCTTCTGGCTCTTTGTGGTTTTAATCATCAATTCGAGCTATACAGCTAGCTTGACATCTATCCTTACAGTGCAGAAGCTGTCTTCAGGAATTGCTGGAATTGACAGTTTAATCTCAAGCCCTGATCCTATAGGAGTCCAGGATGGGTCATTTGCATACAATTATCTCATTGCTGAGCTACATGTTCCAAAGTCACGGCTCCGAATAATAAAAAGCGAAGCTGAATATGTCAGCGCCCTCCAGCAAGGTCCAAAAGGTGGTGGTGTTGCTGCCATTGTAGACGAGCTCCCTTATGTTGAGCTGTTTTTGTCTAATAGCAAATGCATATTCAGGACTGTAGGACAGGAGTTCACAAAGAGCGGATGGGGCTTTGTAAGTATTTCCTTTTGCTTTTGCTATGATGAGCTGACAGTTCGCCATAAAACTATATTTATGACTTACAAATGATCTAAATCGCCTTCATCCTCAACCCCAATGAAGAGGAATAAAGAGAACTCAGTCCAAAATTGGAATAGAAAAAATGGAAACTACAACATACTTCCTCTATTTCAATTTGTTCGTCTTACTTTTCTTTTTGGCCATTTCAAAAAGAATGTCTCCTTCCTTTTTGGCAACTCTTTAGTTCTGACTTTCCATATGACATGTTAAATACCACAAGATTAAAGAGTATTTTGGTACATATTACATATCTTTAGCTTAAGACCACAAGATTCAAAAGTTTTTTTTAATTTCTTAAACTCTGTGTCAAATCAAAACAGACAAACAAATTGAAACGGAGGGAGTATTATGTTTATCTCCTTGTGATGATGCACAGGCAATCTGGTCTACTCAAAGATTGATCTTAACTGTCTTTGGTCAGGCATTTCAAAGGGACTCTCCTCTGGCTATTGATTTGTCAACTGCTATCCTTCAACTATCAGAAAATGGTGAATTACAAAGGATCCATGACAAATGGCTATCTAACAAAGAATGCTCTTCACAAAACAACCAAGTTGACGACACTCGCCTTTCTCTCAGTAGCTTCTGGGGCCTTTATGTGATCTGTGGTGGTGCTTGTGCCGTTGCTCTTGTAGTGTTTATCTGCAAGGTTTACTGTCAATTCCTCAGGTATGACCTCGAGACAGAGGAGCCGGAGATCAGTGAACCTGAATCTGCAAGGTCTAGTAGACGTTCCCTACGGTCACGTAGCTTCAAGGACTTGATGGGCTTTGTTGATAAAAGAGAAGCTGAGATAAAAGATATGCTCAAACGTAAGAACAGTGACAACAAGAAACAGATAAGTCATAACTCAGATGTGCAACAGAACTCTCCTGTTTAAAATGTTGTTGGGTTGATGTTCTTTTGTTCAATGCATCAACCTATATATGTATATGACATTTATAATTCCTATTTTATGTAACTTATTTGTCATAAAAACTTAGGTAGATTAGAATGAAAAATGTCTTTGTAGGCTATTTAGTAGGAAAAAACTAAATAATACATGTGATCTAGTGGTCAATGAAGTGGCTGTGAATCTAAGGTTTTAGGTTCAAAACTTAGTGGAGACAAAAAAAAGAAGGTGATTCTTTCCATGTGTCAAATCCTTGGTGGACAGAGTTACTTGGTACCTGTTACTGGTGGAAGGTGACAAATATCCCGTGGAAGTGACGAAAGCTGGTCCGGACACCATGGTGATAAAAAGAATAAAAAACTGGCTATATTATATTGTATAAATGATGAAATAGGGGGACAATTGTATTCAAAGTTTAATCATTTGTTTTCCTTCTTTGGGTATTATTGTTTTTTTAGTAAATAAATTTAATAAATTCCATTTCTTTTTCCCTTCTGTCCTATTATTTGTGGATAGAGAATGATTTGTTCATCTTAGTTCACCAGAACTTAGGATTGATGTTCAACTTAAAATAAGTAGAAAGAGGTTTAAATAAAGCAGAATGAAATATAGATGAAGTGTGTCTTTAGTTATTCTTCTTGGTTTGTTACTATTTCCTCCGTTTACTTTTAATGGCCATGATTTTTTTTTCTAGAGTCAAACTATAAGAACTTTGACTAATATTTTATGATGTATTTTTCCATCATATTGATAAGCAAAAAATTGCAATTTATAGTACTTTTCATTTAGTTTTTGAATATCTATTTTTTGTTTTGTTTAAAATATCGAATTAATGTAGTTTAATTTAACTTTGACAATAAATCAAATTAATTTTTGAAAAGCGCAATATGATAATTAAAATGGACGGAGAGAGTACTTAATAAAAGAAGTTTTAAGTTTTTGACCATAAATTGTCACTTTTTTTTTTAATGATAGGAATAGAAAGAGACTCGAGTCTAGTTATAAGTAAACGAGGATTTACAAGAATAAGTACCCCTAATTACTGTCATGGACTCATGGCTTAAGATGTATAAGAATAATTGTGAATTAGGTGTATGATTATATCTGTTATACATATATTAGTTATATATAGGTTGAAATCATTACTAAATAGAAAATTAAATAGTAAGAATTAATATCAAAACTAATTAATGATACATTCTATCGAATAATCTTTAAAAATTGTGACAAATAGCAAGTACTTATTCATTCTTATCTAATGATGTCAGAATCATCTTTGATTAGGAGCACTTGATCTCAAAAATGAAATCATCCGACACGAATCCAAGTAATCAGACTCGAAAGTGATAACAACCATTGAGAAATCCACTCATTCCCAAGAATTTCTCATGGAGTCAACAACACTAACATTGAGAGATTTACTCATTCCCAAGAATTACCCACGGATTCAACACTAAACTCTCCAAATATAAAAGCAAACCTAAAACTCACTTTTCTTCCCACCGTCCCTTCCTTGACACGGTCCAAAAAACACCCCTTTACCTAATTCCAAGACAAAATCCTACCTTTTGAATCATCACCATCACCATCACCACCACCAATCGACATATAATGTCTTCTTCTCCGGCCACCATCCCCACCTCCGCCAATGTTTTTTCTAGTAGTTTAGCCAACAAGGATTCCATGGAGGATTTAGTTGCTTTAAAAATTAGTCTCTTGGGTGATTATCATATTGGAAAGACAAGTTTTTTGGTTAGTATAAATAATTACTAGAAATTTTCTTTCCATGCATACAATATTATCATATTATCCACCTCGCAGAGACAGATTCAAAATTTAAATACAAATAGATAACATGTCAAGTTACAGAGGCAGATTCAAAATTTAAATGCAACAAATAACATAACAAGCCGGACCTAAAACAAGGCAAAAAACAATTATTTTTTGTTATACATAAACCAATTAATTCTCTTGTATGAATTTTTGACTCTGCCATGCCACCCATGCACCTCTTAATTCATATGCATATTTTAGTTAGAACCCCATATTTTTTTCTTCTAATTTTCTAGATACATCGAAAAATAACAATAACATACCTAGCGAAATCTCATAATTTTCTAGATACATGTGTATTTTTATAATTCAAGTTTAATTAATCATGAACTTTGTCATTTTAGTGTGTGTGTTTTTTTTTTGTAGACAAAGTATGTAGGAAAGGAGAAAGGGGAAGAAGGTTTTTCAACAACAGGGTTAAACCATATGGACAAAACTCTCTGTGTTAGTGGCGCTAGAATTTCCTATAACATTTGGGAAGTCGAAGGTATATTCTTTCCTCCATCCATTCATCTAGATTCGACTCATTTTTCTTCTTTTTTACGTGGATTGTCCGAAAAATCTCATCAATTTTTGGCATGCAAATAAAATTTAATAAAATCTACATATATATATATTATTATTTTTTTGGCATTCTAAAGATATAATTATGTGAACATATTTTTTTCTAAAATTATGTTTATGATATTGCAGGTGACGTTTCTCATATTCCAGTAGCTTGTAAAGACTCTGTAGCAATGTTGTTTATGTTTGATCTCACAAGTCGTTGTACATTAAATAGGTATTTATAATTTTTAATTTTTTTTTTTTGCTAACATGAAAATAGTGGATCATCGTTGTGATTATTGATGACAAAGATAATTTTAGATCAAATTATTAACTGATGAGGATATTTTTGTTCAATTTCACATAGTTTAAGGACATTTTTGACCATTTTTCGTATCTTGATCAATAACAGTGTAATTAGCTGGTATCAACAAGCAAGAAAATGGAATCAAGTAAGAAGATTAAAACTTTTCATTTTATTTTTTCCTTTTTCTAGATGAAATATTAAATAATATGTTAATGTGACTTTATTATTAATTAATTTAATTTTGATTTTCAGACGGCAATTCCAGTTCTAATAGGAACAAAGTTTGATGATTTTGCTCAATTACCATTACATGTGCAATGGACAATCGCTTTGCAGGTATATTTTCTCATTTTTTGTGGCACCAATAAATGATAAACTGAGATGAAGCATAATATTTTCTCCGTTTTAATTTAATTATCTGATTTTAGACTTGACACAGAGTTTAAGAAAGTAAATAATATTTTAATTTTTTTTGTGGTTTTAAACTAAATGTACATAGAATTTATCATCAAATATTTGGTCTAATAACATATCATATGGAAAGTTAGAATAAAAGAGTTATAAAAAAATTATATATATTATTTGAAATAGAGTAAATAAAAGTAAGACAAACAAATTGAAATGAAGAACATGATTCATTTGCTAACATGAATTGACAATTTTTAACATATAAAGAGATAAACCTATTATCTTTTTTCATATTTTATCCTTAATATTAATTACTTAATTATTCTCCAAAATTATTTTTCAAGACTTAAGACTATATATCATTTAATATGAATATCATGATAACATCTTCATATTAATCATTGTTTTCCAAAGGATCTGCAAAGTCCAAAGTAGACAATTAAAAAAAATTAAAGAAGCAAATACTTTTACTTTTACTATAAAGATTTATTTGTACTATCTTAAACATGACTTAATTTTGTTTGAACAGGCAAGAGCATATGCTAAGGCACTAAATGCAACTTTATTCTTCTCAAGTTCAGCTTACAACATAAATGTTAACAAGATCTTCAAGTTCATCACAGCCAAAATCTTCAACTTACCATGGACATTGGAACGTAACCTCACCATTGGAGAACCCATTATAGACTACTAGAATACAAATGACTCACATAGACAATCGATCACTGGATCTTGTTACTTTTACTACAACAAGCTAGTGAAATTTCGGGTTTTCTTGATTATGACTCATTATGTAAAATACACAAATTTGTGGAATGGAGAACATTTTTTTCTTGTTTTCTTTTTGACTTTGTAATTTGTAGAGTCGGTTCATTGATTATTCGTGATTTTACCTAGTTCCTTTTTTATCCTCTCAAACGCCTTAATATACTTGTTATACAGTTTGTAATATTGAAATAGCTATTTAAGGTACCACCATTAAGATAATTTAGTAAAAGGTGTTACAAGGGGACATGTTTGTTTTACAAAAGGATTGTCACCTTTTTAAACAAGTGCAATTTCAATTGCTTATGTTCGTTATTAATGGAGATGTTAATTGGTACATATTTTTCACTTTTAATTCGATTGATAATAAGCTTGTTGTATTCTAAAGGAGTGCAATTTCACTTTTTTTTTCCCTTCTTTTCGTCTATTTCATATTTGAACAAAAATTAACTTTCTTGAATATTTATCGTGTGCCTGAAATCAGGGAGAATTTAATTTTTGCAAATTAGTTGTCCAAGAAAAACTTTGAAATTATTATAGAATTTGATAGTGTTATTATTTCTAAAAATTCTATATTTGTTGTTAAAAGAATACTATATATTGTTAAGGTTTTTTTCAAGATGAGTATTAATAGTATTAAGGGTTTGTGTATTTTTGAGTCAAATCTTATGTCATGACATACTAGATTATGACATTTAATTTAAATTTTGATTCTATGAAATTTATGTCAAGAATTGGATACTTAGAATGCAATTAAGAACAATTAAATAAGTGTGAAATTTGCATTCAAGCAAAAATGACAAATAAATCATTTTTACTGTTAAAGGAAATTCACAATTGCTTGAACTTATATATATACTAGTTTTTTGATACGTGCGTTACACGTGATTACCAGTTCAGAAAATATATGTTATAGTAAATAGTATTGCTTATTTAAGCGAATATTTGAATAATAAGTTTAGCATTAATGAAAATATTTTTCTCATAAAAGTTAACTATATTAAATAAATAAGTAACAATTAAGCTAATACAAACTTCAACTGGGTTATTACAAGTCATATGAATTTTTCTTCGTCTAAAATACTGAAATATTAAGAAATAGTAAATAAGTAAAACAAAAGGGCAATTTTTATATAGTAATACCTATTTTGAAGCAAACTTTCTGACAATCTAAATTACATAAGTATCAT